TTTTGCAGTTCGCAATTTTGCAGCATGCAATTCTTATATATTATATATTATTATATTCAATTTAATCTATTAAGTTGTCTACTTGATTTTCTTTTTAACCTTCCATCTTTAATTTGTTTTAGCTCCAAACTTCTTCATCTTTACACCAATTTAATCCTACAAATAAAATATACTATTAAGCACAATTCATAAAATCCATGCTCAAAAAGACCAAATATAAATACTAAATGTGATGCAAATAATGATTGAAAATATGTATTTTGGTCTCACATCAACATCCCACACTTAAACTTTTGCTCATCCTCGAGCAATCATTAAAGCTCGTCTAAAAAAATCATTTATACAACACTTGGGCCATATACAACTTTCAAAACATCAAGTATAATTTTCAATCATTATGCCAGATATACAGATAAAGAACAAACCTCTAACCTCCTAACCTCAAGGAAGGACTTTGAACTCATCAAATTTAAGCTAGCTCACCTACTTTCATCAAAGAAAGCTAATAAAATCACCTATCTATCATGAAACAAGTGCCCTCGCCAGGAGAAATAGTCCACACACCCAATTCAAAAGATTGAATATAAATTAAGGACTTCACACCAAAGAACAACTCTCACACTCACAATAAAATTCATATGTATGCACAAAGAACCGTAGGCTTGCCCATTATGTACATCTCCACTAATTAAGCATGCTTGAATATAATCAAATATGACTTTAACGGGTTGTAATGTAGGCTAGGGGATGGGTAGGAAAACTATATAATAGTGACTTATACTTCCCTAAGCACTTTGCAATTTTAAACTTCATCACCCATTATTTTCTTCTCTTTATTTTTAGCCCTCTCTTCAATAATTATTTTACAAGTAATTCTCATCATCTCAATAATACTTCAATCATTTTTTTTTCAAAGAATATATTTTTTTGTTTTGTTTTTCTCTCGTTTTCCCCATGTGACATTCTTTCGAGGAGAGCTTTTTAATCACTTTGTATCTATCATTGATCACCTTTTGCACTCAACCATCCCCTTCCTTCAGATTTAACAATTATAATAAGTCTATCCTACAGTGCTCAAGGAAGCAGGGTGCAAAAACTAGGAATTCAACAAAAAAAATCAAGGTAAAAATATGGCTACCAATAAAAAGCTACATGCTAAAAGGGGCTACTAGTGATATGTATCTGAAAAGACTAAAATTTACAAGAAAAATCAAAGAAAGCCTATTATCATCTACTAAACAAGCAACACTTTTTTTTATTTTTCTTCAATAATATGCAGGGCATGTTCTAGACGACTATGATGCAAAACATGGAATAAAAAATTCTCACCACACATGGCACAAGCATCAATCAAGTTGGATCAATTCCACTTCTAAGAGAGACATGATCATTGATGAGTCCACAAATTGGACTCATTTAGGTCTTTATTCTAATAGAAATAGTGTCCTCAAATGCTTATTTAGTCTAAATATATGATGAAAACACTTAAGTTTCAGGGATTTTGAAGTTTTAGTGGAAGCATGGACACTTAGGCGCAGAAAGGAACAAAATGGCTGAAAAGAACGAAGAAGCTGAAGCCTGAGCATCGCCAAGCATGCTTGGCGATTCGCCGAAGGGACGCACTACGCCCTTTGTTCCAGTACGCGAAGCCCTGAAGGAGAAGGATAAAAAAGGCGATGAAAGGAGCAATCAGCGTTTAACCAGTCAGTTCCGCGAAGCAGAAGTATACTGCCCAATGATCCAGAATGCATAGATGCTGAAGGCAAAGCACAAACGGCGATGAACTAGAAGGAGGGCGAATCGCCGAGTCTTTCGATGTTCGCGACTAACCTCACCGAGTGATCTGCCAACACTATTTTCTGAAGTCTATAAATACTAAACTCTTTAGGGATTTTAAGTGTGAAAAAAATATTATAATTTTCATATAGAATAGTACTTTTTAGTTTTGCTCTGAGTTTGAGAGGGTTTGGAAAACTTGAAGAAGAAGAGGGTTCATTTCCAAGGATTTAGACTTGGGTCTCTTGGATTCTTCATTCTTGGCCTGTAACAAGACTTATACCTTCATACCCATTTGAATGCAAGATCATTTAGGTATAAATTTCTATCTCTTGATGTGTGGCTAAAAACCCCATTCTTGGGGTGTGATTTAGCAAATATGTGCTGATATTATTGTTGGGTCTTGTTTGCTGATAGGTTAGATGTATTTTAATGGTGATTTCTTGTTGGGTCTTGCTCGCTGATAGTTTAAATGTAGTTTAATGGTGATTTCGTCTAGTAGTTTTGGTTGAATCTAATGGATTTGTAGCTGCAAATACAAGTTCACTCATGTGTTTTCGGCTTGCTCGAGAGAGAAGTCGTGAAACTAAGACCACTAGATTGATGACCTAAGAAGTGGGTTGACATGATGCTGAACCCGAGAGGGTGAGCCCTAGTCCCATATCCTAACACTCAGCTCGAGAGAGTGAGTGGGGTAAGGCGTAGGCTGGTCTTCATGCGGCAAGTGGGTGTCCGAGAGGAACCCATTTGAAATGGGGTAAGTTGCTCGAGAGAGAACTTATTTGCACATAAAGCTTAGCCTAGTTACTATTACTCTATCAATTTTCTATCGAAAGCATGTACCCAATACTTTAGATTAACCCATATTCCGGTCACATCCCAAGAATTCCCCTCTCATTGCATATTCCGGTCACATCCCAAGAATTCCCCTCCCATTGCTTAGATTTCCTTGTTGATTTCGCTAATTTTAGCTTACTTGTGACAAAACCCCATTTGATATTTGACACTTTTGTGTCACCCCCTTTATTTACTATGTTTTTAATCGTTAAATTCTTTAGCTACGACTAATTAGAATGAAATTTTATTTTTCTATAACTTCTCAAAACCACTCCCTTGGGACGATCCCAACCTTGGTTGGGTTATTATATTATTGCACCATCATAAACACCCGAACTGTAAGACGTGTCGTTGATTACGCAAACATCAATCATAACAACTACAAAATAAAATAATCTGTATACAGAGTCACGACTATGAGCCTAAATGTCAAAGAGTTTGCAATTTCAATAGCAATCTAGCATTCACAAGAAAGTACTACTCAAAATTAGGCCCAAATAGCAAGTATCAAAAAACTCAAAAGGGTCTTTTCTTTTCCCTCCGAAAAGAAAATAAAATAAAATTTACTTCCTAAAAAATAAAAGACAATTGGTTCAAAGGGACTATCCTCAGGAAAAAAATCGAAAACAAAAGCCAAGGAACCCATCCTAAAAAAAGACTCAATAAAATAGTAAAAACTGGGAATTCATTCCCCTACCCCACTCTTAAAACATAACATTGTCCTCAGTGCAACAATTAAATACATAAGCTAAGAGTGAAAGAAAGACTCCCTGAGGCCTCTAGGCCAAACTAGTAGCATGTTCTCTCAATTCCCCACACTTAAGCTCAAACATGCTCCTTTGCTTCAAATTTTTTGGGTACTCAGACTTACCCTAATCTGCAAAAACAAGATCAAAATAAAAAAAGTGTCACTAATAAAATAAGAAAAAAAAATTTCTTTTTAATTTTTTTTTTATAAAAAAACTTAAATAAATAGGAAGAAAAAGTTTAACGTAGAAAGCTAATTAATTTCTAAATCTCCGGCAACGACACCAAAAACTTGTTGCTTCCAGTTGCACACACAAGTGTACGTGCTTGCGCAAGTAATATAGTGGCCCTAAGAGAGCCGGATTATCGAACCCAAAGGACTTGTCGATTAATTATTCTTACTAAATTATATTAATTCTAAATATTTATTTAAGGGAAGATTTCAAAAGATAAATATATATTAACTTAACTAAAAATAAAGATAAAATAACTAAAAAGCAATTAACTAAGGAAAGATAGATGTTTACAGAATCAATGAATGAATTGATCTATGATTATGATTTAACTAACAAACATGTTTAGAATCAATTTCATCAACTTATTTGATTATCTAGTTGTTGATTCACGGGTTAATAATAGAGTCATGATCTCCGGACTTCTAACCATCTATCACAATTGACAGCCTAACTACATCGTTGAGCGGGGATAGACTGAACCAACTATGGAGCATTAAGTTGTCTTTCCGTATTTGAGCCAAACAAGGCACCTAGGTATATCCCTACTCTATACACAAATCAATTCAAGTGCATGCAAGAAAAGACCACCCTCCTTATATTCCACATTCTATCCCTCTATTCCTCTCCCGAGTTCAAAAGAAGACAATAAATTTATTCTAATGCTGATCAAACATCAAAATAGTAATCACAAGAATATAAGAACAACCAATATGATAAATAATTATGCCGAATCAAAATTACTAAACAATCGTTTTGTAAGTAAATATAATCCAAGAACAAAAAGTTTAACTCCACATAGACATAGAGCAATTACAATCAAGCATTCAAACAAAAGATGTAAAATAAATAAAAGAGAAGAATAGATGAAACCCTAAATCAAAAGTTAATTTCTATATTGTATCCTCCTCTCTTAATAATTATTCTTATGGACTATTTATAGATGTAGAAAACTCTAAATAAAATAACTGAGTCCAAAACCAAAGAAATTAGAATTCATGTACGGCGTGAAAACACTGTAGGCGCTCTTTGCACTCTTGTCTTCCTTTGCTGCCACGTGGCAATAATTCTTTTGCAGTTCCCAATTTTGCAGCATGCAATTCTTGTATATTATATATTATTATATTCAATTTAATCCATTAAGTTGTCTGATTTTATTCTTCAATCTTCCATCTTTAATTCGTTTTAGCTCCAAACATCTTCATCTTCACACCAATTTAATCCTACAAATAAAATATACTATTAAGCACAATTCATAAAATTTGTTCTAAAAAAGGACAAATATAAATATTAAATGTGAGAAAAATAATGATTAAAAATATGTATTTTGGTCTCACATCAGTCATAACTATTTAACTCAACTGCTTCCTTCTTCTTTGCCTCCAGACTGGACAGGTGATCAGCCACCTAATTTTCACAACCGCTTCTATCGTTGACTTTAAAGTCAAACTCTTGAAGTAACACCACCCATCTTGTCAATCTTGGCGTTGCATCTTTCTTCGTCATTAAGTACCTTAGTGCTGCATGATCACTGTGAACAACCACTCTAGTACCTAGTAAATGTGATCTGAACTTCTCAAAGGCATACATTACGACAAGTAATTCCTTCTTAGTGATAGTGTAGCTTCGTTGTGCTCCATTCAACGCCTTGCTAGCGTAGTAGATCGGATAAAAGAGATTGTCTTGCTTTTGCCCTAGGACCACTCCCAAGGCAGAACCACTCGTATCACACATTACTTCAAATGGCTCAGACCAATTTGGACCAATGATCACTGGGGCTGAGACTAGTTTTGCTTTAAGATACTCAAACGCTTTTGTACATTCTTCATCAAAATTGAACTTCACCTCTTTCTCTAGCAACTTACACAAGGGGTGTGCAGTTTTTGAGAAATCTTTGATGAAGCGCCGATAGAGCACCTACATGACCAAGAAAACTTTGAATCCCTTTCACAGAGATAGGTTGAAAAAGCTTTTCGATCACCTCAATCTTTTCTTTGTCTACTTCTAGCCCTTTCTGCGACATTTTATGGCATAGGAATATGCCTTCCTTGACCATGAAGTGGCATTTCTCCTAGTTTAGCACCAAGTTAGCCTCCTTACATCTCTGTAGTGCCCTGCTAAGATTTAACAACCAGTCATCAAATGTGTCACCTACCACATAGAAATCATCCACAAACAGTTCCAAAGTGGCCTCTACAATGTCCACGAAGATGGACACATACAACTCCGGAAAGTTGTTGGTGCATTACACAATAAGAATACCATGCATTTGAACGCAAATGTACTATAAGGAAACGTGAAGGTGGTTTTCTCTTAATCTTCTGGAATAATTGATATTATAACCAGAGTATCCATCCAAAAAGGAGTACCACCCTTTACCAGCCAACCTATCAAGCATCTGGTCCATGAATGTCATTTGGAAGTGGTCTTTCAATGTCCACTTGTTCAGTTTCCTGTAGTCCATTCACATTCGCTAGCATGTAACTGATCTCTGTGGAATAAACTCATTCTTTGCATTTGCAACCACTGTCATACACCCTTGTTGGGCCCACATTACACTGGGCTAACCCAATGACTATTAGAAATGGGGTACATCACCCACGCATCTAACCACTTAATAATCTTTTTTTTCACCACCTATTACATCGGTGGGTTCAACCTCCTTTGGGGCTCTATACTTGGGTTGCAATCTTCCTCCAATTGGATTTTGTGGGTGCAAATACCCGGGGCTATTCAAATGATGTCAGTAATGGTCTAACCAATTGTCTTTTTGAACCTTGTCAAGACTTTCACTACTGCTTGCACCTACTCAGAATTAACATATGCAACTGCGATAACTGGTAGTGTACGATTAGCACCCAAAAAGACATACCTCAAGGGGCAAGGCAACTGTTTCAACTCGAGCACAAGCAGTTCCTCAATAGATGGCTTTGCTGGAGGATTTGGCATGTTTTTCAAGTCTAAATCTAACCTCTTTGGAGCATATGAGTGTGACCTCTTACCTTGCAAAACATTTAGAGTCTCCACATAATCATCCCTAAGGTCTTTATAAAAATTCATTATTACAGCGGCATGTGTATCCACATCAAATCTTTCTTCATCAATTGATGCTTCTAGGTCCCCCTTATCAACAATATCAATTGTAGAGACGACACTCATATCATGTGGCTTCTTCATAGACTTGCATATTTTGAACTTCACCTCTTCATTTTTGCGTCAAAATTTCAGCTCCACACTCTCAACATAACCTAAAGCTCTGCCTATGGCTATGAAAGGCCTTCCCTATATTATGGGAACCTAAAATTTACTTCACAATACAGAATCACAAAGTCAGCTAGAAAAATAAGGTTATCAATCTTCATAAGTATATCACACAAAATACTCACAGGTTGCTTCACTAATCTATCTCCCATCATCAATCTCATCGAGGTAGGTTTTGTAACTCCCAAGGCCAATTGCTTGTATATGGCTAATGGCATCAGGTGAAACTTGCCCCTAGAGTACATAGGGCTTTTGCAAACTCGAAAGTGCCAATAGTGCATGGTATACTGAATGCACCTGGGTCCTTTACACTAAGGACCTTGTAGCACTAGCACTCTAAAGATGAATGTTGTCGGTTAGCTCGAAACTTGAAGCTCTCTTCTTTGTAACTAGGTCCTTCATGAACGTAGCATACCCTGACATTTGCTCCGAAGCTTCTAGCAACAAGATGTTCATTGATAGCTGTCGAAGCATAGATATGAACTTTGCAAACTTCCCACTTTCAGCTTTTTTTCTTGAGCCTTTGAGGAAATGGAGGCGGAGGTCTAGGTATCTGTTGTAATGGTAATGTTACCTCTACTACAACTTCTTTTATTTTTTTCAATTTCTCTATTTCTGTGGTCACCTCTGCATCACTCACTAATTTATCCTCAACCTCTGCTCCCTTATCTCTTTTTATGTTATGTTCTTGCTTAATACCTGTAGATTTTGGTTTAGTTAGGGACTTACCTCTCCTAGTAGTGATTGCCATGCAATGCCCATCCTTCTTAAGATTCTGAATAGTATCACTAGGTAGTGATCCATTCTTTTGTGGGTTTAGCGAGGATAACAACTACCCTAACTGCTGCTCTAATTGTGTGATGGAAGTAGTATGCGAATCCACCAGCTGACTGATACCGGTGAAATCACTTTGTAGTTCTTTGACGCTTGCATCAGTAGATTCAACCTTTTACAGAACCTTCTCTAACATCTCTTCAATCCTGGACCCCTCGAACTACAACTTGCTATATCTCTATTACCTGGAGGTACATACACACCACTGCGATCATTTTTGTACCTATTCTTATTTTGCCAGTTACTTTTCTCCTAGTTACCTGGTTGATCATACTGTCCCTCTCTTTGATAATTCCAACCTTGATTTTCGGAATTATATCCTTGGTTTCCTAAGTTATAATTTCAGAAGCCCCCTTGATTAGCCAAGTACTTGGCTTCCTCATCTAAGTCAATATCCTGCTCTTCATACTTGTTTGAGGCACCGAAAACATTTAGCTTCTCTGGACCTGTCATGATGTGCTTAGTGAACATATCCATCTATGTCATCATGTTGGCCATATCTTGATCCCTTTCTTCTTACCGCTTTTTTTGTTCAGCTGAGAGTTCAAAAGTAAATCCAAGATTCCCTACCTTAGTATCTCTGGTATGCCATGCTCTGTTGTTCTTGGAGACCTCATCCATTACTGTCATGATCTCCGAGAAAGGTTTCTTCATGAAAGAGGCGCCACAAACTGCATCCACAACTGGTTTAGTCACAAAGTTAAGTGACATATAGAACACCTACTTTAAATGCCTATCAGTGAGGCCATGGTTTGTGCACTACTTCAGTTTTTGACTGAATCTCCACCATGCATCATGCATAGATTCACCCGGTAGTTGCTTGTGGGACCCAATTGCATCCTTCATTTGGAGCACTTTGGCCTCAGAAAAGAATCTCTCCAAGAATGTCTCCTTTAATTTTAGCCCATGTCCTGATTGAGTCATGTGGTAACTCATTCAACCAGTTTGTTGCCTCCCCCCGAGATACAACAAGAACAGTCTTAGCCTCATGGCACTTTGTCTAACTCCAAGTATGTTAGCTGATTTGCATATTGCCACAATGTTCATCAAGTGTTGGTTGGAATCATCACCAGTAACTCCTCTGAACATTCCCTTCAGGTTCAACAATTGAATCATGGTGGTGGTACTAGTAAATTTCACTCTTGGAGGTAGCAATAGTAGCACTATATCCCCTGTAGCTCCAACACTAGCTAGGTCCAGATAATCTTCTTCAAAAACCATGTGAGCTTGTTGTTGCACTCGACCCCTTGGAATATAGGTTGATGGTGAGGAGGAGAAATCTCTTTCACTCCTTCATGTTCTTCCACCACACTAGGTGGGTCATTCATAGCATTCCGCTGAGCACCTCTCGCAGTGGTCTCAACCTCAAGTTCCAATCTCTGCCTTTGAGCCTCAAGTTCTTGTGCATTCACCATCTTGCAAATAGTTTTGCTAAGTTATGGATCGTAAGGAATCAATGGAACCCCCTTACTTATGGTATTTGGCATGTACTACTGAACTCACTTGTCAAAGACACAGACAACGAACATGATGTAAAATTAGGAAATATAACTACAATTAGAAAATTGCTAGTAAAATATTTCTGAATCAAAATTCCATGGTAGCGGTGCCAAAATTTGATATGTCCAAACTTACATTCCAATTAAGAAGTGAAAATGGTGGATGTAAATTTATAGAACTCAACGTGACTTGAGGTCGATCCCACAAGAATTTACCTACAAAAATAGTTTCACAGACGCTTTTATTCAATTAATGTTATTATTTCCCACAGAGAGTAATTTCGAAATGTAAAAATGGGTTTAATTGTGATTTTCAAGTAACTAATGCTTAATGTAATGTTCAAGTTAACACGAGTAACAGAGTTTTAACTTCAAAGTTGTGATAATGAATGAAACCAGGATTGTATTCCTCATAACTTAACATTTTGTTTTGAATCGTGAATAAGTATTGGTTGATTGTTAATATTACAATTTATTAGCAAGTTAAATACATCTAACACTTCTCAGTCTTATTAAATAACTTTCACTCTAATCCTCTCGGTCTCAGAGTGTTGTCTATTTTTACCCTCGCATATTTGGCGTTAAAAATCTCTTCTCTCTTCTCTCTTCTCTCGAATTTTCACTCCAAACCAATAGATAGATTCTACTTTTGCAAACAACCAACTTTCTCTCGAACAAGTGGTAAATACAGGCAAGTTCTAATGCATGCACTCATTAGAAAGAATATATAATGAAAGTATGAGTCACGTTATGCAAATAACAATCGCACTTTACTCATTCATCGAATTTGTAACTAGATTATTGTCATAGTTCCCACGACCCTAGTTGTGGTGTTTTGCCACTCATGTTTTCAAGAGAACAAACAATAATTGTTGTTGAATGCATAAAAGTAATCACTTACAATGATTGCAATTCAAAAAAAGCTTGAGGTCAAAACACTTAATCAAAATCATCAAATATTGATCCCAAAATAATCGATAAAAATCAAAGCTAAAAATATAGAAAGTCGCGCTTTATTCACACAATGACGAGATACCTTCAAAATAAACCTAATTAATTCAAATAGTTTGTACAAAATGAGACCCACTCAATTATGACTAATTTGTCAAGAGGCTTCACGGACGGCATGACAGCCCATCACGAGCCAGACAACCCGTGAGGCCTGTCGTGGTTCCACACTGACAGTGTGGGACTTCCTTTCTTGAGATCTTTCAAGGGAAACTAGACGGCCCATCTTGAGCACCACGGTTCATACCGAGAATCGTGATGCTGAGCCTTCACTTCGGTGTTCACTGGAACTTTCTCCTCTTTTTCATGAGCAACATAACGACTCATCAACTCCACAACGACCCGTCTAGGTCCCCGTGGTGTTCAATCCAGACTTAGCTCCTCAAGGCTTCATCACTGGTCCTTCCTCACGAGTTTCTGGACGACCAGTCAAGAGGACCACGACCAGTCAAGGGCTACATGGTCTTCACTTAGACTTTGATCATTTCTTCAGTTCTAACTGCCTCATCTCCACTAGCCTTTAATGGCTCGTCATCATGACCACGGCCCGTCTGGGGCTCCGTGATGGTTGATTTAAATTCACTTTCTTCACTTTTTGCTATCTTTCATATCCAAGTGTTTTACATGTTCACTCATTAACAAACACATCATATCCTCATAAAAATACTCAAGTTCGAGCTTTAATCCTTAGTTTTGAACGTCAAATGTGCCAATAGTTCACGACACATCATTCATATGCATTTTAAAGAAAAATGGTCTATCGTCTAATTCATCTTACTATGCTATAATTGGAAATATACTTAGTTATAGTATGTTTAGTGACTTAGTAAATTTATACAAACATCTTTTATTATCTCTTTGTATGACAACTCATTATGTTTTTTACCTTTTTAATACACTTAATTAATCTCAAAGTGTAAAACTGATTATATTTTTTAGTTGATTAATTTTTCATAAACGTGATTAAGAAAACTACTTTAGAATCTTGTCTGCATCTATTCAACACTAATTATGAAAGTTGATTTAAAATTTTCATGTTGAGAATGAAGCTGATATAGTGCCGCTCAAAGCTAATTTTGGTGAGTATTAAATCACTCTTTGATATGAACTTAGAAAAAATATTTAAACAATTTTCTACTGAATAAATGTATCATATATCATCTGCAAGTATTGAAATGTTTAGTTGAGCAAATGAAGATACAAGTTGTTAAGTTTCTTATATATTTTAGTGTCGGTGAATCATTTTTATATTTTACTATGGATGTTATATTTTAATCCAAAATAATTCAGATGTGTTTTATTTTCTATTAGGAAATTTATATCATTGCAGAGTTTTGGGACTGGAAAAGATTAGGTCTAAATAAAAGTCCCATAAAAATCCCTAATGAATAATGGGAACCAGAAGTAACTCCTTACAATGTTATTAGATCATGGAATAATGACAAGAAATTTGGCCCCTAAAGGTTTTTAGGGACCAGTTATTAAGTCTCGTCATCGTTGACTTATAGCGAAGGAGCCAATAAAGACGAGTGGCGACCATATTTTTCTAGTCTCGAATGAGTTTTAGTGACCCAA